TGGGTGTGCCAATATATTTTATCACCAGCGGAGGCAACCCTTTCCAAGGAAACACCCTGGATAAAAATCAAGGATAACATCATAATATCATAAAAGCGACCTATGATGGTCTAGTATATGTCGCTGGGTAACTTAAACACCTAATTCACTAAATACTGACAGTTCCCAAAGAGAGGAGGCCCTCCATTGAAGACCTACAGCAACATCCCTGGCTTGTGCAATGGGAAGAAAACATGTCAAGTGACACCAACTTAGATCCCAATGTCCTAGACACACTGTCATGTTGGGTTAAATATCAATGCCAGCTTGTAATCCATTGTAAAGTGAAAATACAACCAAATGATAGGGACATACCTCATCATCAAAGAGCAGTCACACAAGGAGCTGGGGTTTACACTCACTAGGCTGCCCCCCCTCACCCAAGTCAGTGGACCTTGGAGCTGTGCCTCCCCCTTCCCCAGTGCATCTCTCTTTCTCTGGTCTTCACCTAAAAAAAAAAAAAAAAAAAAAGGGAGGCCAGTGAGCCCAACTTTGGCCTCTTTCACACCCAGCACTCACACCAGCACCTGCCTATTTTACCAACAGCACCAGGGCAAAGAGTGGCTAGAAGTGCCTCCCTGGCTCTATGCTGTCCCCTGAAGAAGAACCCCACTTGTAGCAATGCCCCCTGTTCAGAGGTGCGGCTGCCCTAAGTATCTATAGCGACATATTGGAAGAGGAAATGACCCAGCACCTGCGCCATACTTTGATATGGTAATGGCCTCACCCCTTCTGAACTTTGGGTGCTTCAAGAGACTGCACAATGGAATCAGGGCTTGCCTGTCAACAGTGTGCTGCCTGCCTTGGGCTCCAAACACACAAGTCCATCCTGTGTTCACCAATAAAGTGGATCCTCTGAAAGAGGCCATGTGCAGAGACTAGTGAGGAATTGGGCATGCAGGAATTGCCTATGCTGGCTTTCCCAGCATGCCTTTCTCTATAGCATCACTATGTTTCAGGCTTCATTTCCAAAGCTGCCTTTCTCTATATTAACATGCCACTACAAACTACCTTTCCCATAGTGCCTCTTGTGTCACCACCTCCATTTCCCTTTACATGACTCAAGTTTCTAACGTCACATTTCAGCTTCAACATGGGAGGTTTGAGTCAAGGTTTTTTGCTTTTTCACCACAGGATATAGGAGATGTCTGTTCTCCCTGAGCTGACTTTGTTATACGTTTTCCTTTTCTGACACTTTCCCCATGGTGAGTGGTGCATGTTCAAGGAAGGTGCTTTTGTGCCCATCAGAAAAATCCCTGGGGACTTGCTCATCTCTCCCAACCAGTCAGTAAAAAGAAGTTAAAACACTCAAAAAAGCTTTCCTATATTTCCATGAGCGAGACTCCATTCTAGAGAGCTCTGGGTTTGCTCCCAGCTCATCCTTTTCTTCACAAACTGCCAGAGGCTGTAGGAAAGGCTGAGTCCATCAGCAGGACAGCAGAAGAGCTCACAATGTGCAGAGCCAGGCTCATTCACCCAGGAGATATTTAGAGGTTCCTTCTGCAGTCAATGCATTATGCTTGCCAGGATTTCCTGAGCCTGCAGAGACTCATGGTAGGATCCTGCTCAGGTTTTGTAAAGTGTGGTGTCCACTTATTTTTTTAGCCTTCTGTATCAGAATCAAGAAAAAGAGGGACAGATATGCAGAATGTGACAGGGACCTCCTTGTAAGTAGTCATTATTGGAGCACACACAAGGCTGAAGTGATGGAGGGAGCTGTTCCCTTGGGACACTGCACATGGCTGGAAGCAACTAGGGGACTCCAGAAGAGGACAGAGTGAGACATTGAAGGCGAAATATGCCTGGGACCAAACATGGAGACAGTCACCTTGGGTTATATATTACCTGCTGTTATTGGTCCAATTCTCCCTCAGACCTCAATGTGT